TACATCTCTTTGTACAGACACAAATTCAAGTTCATGCTCATTTTTATATTCCATTCCATATCTTATTACTATTCTACATTTTCTACATAGCTTCTCCCTTCTTTTAACTTTCTTAATTTTATTTTATTTATTTCATCTCAATTCAAATCATTGTACTTATATTCTTTGTCTGTCCTGTTTCAACTGTCTATTATCTTTTCTCATTAAACAAAATTTCTCCTGTAATCACTGATTGGAGTATGACACCTTTATATCTTTCCCCTAAAATTATAACACTTAATAAAATATATAACTTCCATTCAGATTCTGCTTGGCACATTCTAAAACTACACACTGTATTCTTGAAAAAAGAAAAAAAATTATAAATGTATAATATAATTAAAACAACAATCCATTCCAATTCAATTCTATCATTAATATTAATATTCATTTAAATCTTAACATTTTGCACATTACTTTTCAAATAAATATCATACTTCTGTGGGAACAATTATAAACTTCCCATAGTTAATATTGTTGAAATATTTTTTTTCATCCTCGGTAGCCATCCTTTCAAGGGATTAAGCATTAAGAAGTTGTTCCGTTTTCTACCTTTGTAAAACCCTTTTTTTCCCAAGATCAAAAATGTGTTTTTTATTTTCCTTTCACTATATAAGAGAAACCCATTTCTCTTACCTATCTTACATGTTTGCATGTTCTAAAACAACATTCCATACATGAGAAATAGGTATCTAAAGCTTTTCCCCTTAATTAATAATCCACAATTAAAACTAGAGGCGGAGATCAAAACCACCCAACTGAGAAGAGAAAACAACAACTATTTTAACATTATTTAAAGCTGTTTTTATTTTTCCCCTCTGGGGGTTAAAAACAGCAAACTTTCAGTAATTAGCAGGGTTGTATAAACACATAAACATCCTTGCAGGTCCACGGCATAACCTATTAAAAACCTGTACCAGTCGGCTGATTTGAAAGATGATTATTTTATGGCATGCTTGATTACCGGAAAGAAAGTTATAAAAGAGAGAGAGAGAAAAAAGTGAATGGTTGATTCATAAAAAGCAAACCTTACCCGGATTTTGAATGTTGGTTGGACTTTATTCTGTAGTTAAATTTCAATAGCAAGTGGGTTTAAACCCTTAAACAGAGATGCTACTCATTTAATACTCATTGTCTGGGCATTTCTTATCTCAGATCTGCTGACTCTCTTTTGAAAGTTTGAAGAGTTTACCCTGATGAGGCTTCCGTGTCATCTTTACTGAAGCGCAGATTGGCCTGTAAAAGATGACTCGGTTTGCCAGGCAAGGCATTGGGGATCAGTCATACCAGAAGGATGATGAATCTTGATTTTTAGGGAGGGAAGGGTTGCCTATAAGGTGAGATATTTTCTTAATATGATATCACTCTTCCTTTTTATGATCCTGCCGTTTTTGAAAAGATCGTGTTGGAAGAAAACCGTGCTGTAAATATTTGGAGATGGGGCTCTAATTTTCTCAGTGAGAATCACTTTTTTAAAAAGGAAACTGCATGGCACATTATCACATTTTATTTTTCTAGGATTAGGGTTTTCCAAGGATTGAGGAGCTGTTCCTGGGATAAATTGGGAGGCCAGGTTTTGGGATGGATACGTACCAGTAAAAGTCCATGTTAGGGCATGTCCGTCCGTGGTCTTAAAACTTTCCAGTCCAGTAAAATAATTGAATTTTTGGAAGCCACAGGGGTGCTTTTTAACCTGTGTATCTTGTTAAAAGAGTGAGGATATTGAAAAGAACAAGACGGATTTCTTCCTCCATCCAAAAATCTAAATCTCCAAGAGAGCCTAACCTTGGTTATTTTAAAAAAGAAAAACAGTAGTCCTCAACTTACAACCGCAATTCAGCCCAACATTTCTGCTGTTAAGCAAGACATTTGTTAAGTGAATTCTTCCCATTTTGCAGCCTTCCTTGCCACAGTTGTTAAGCAAATCACCACAGTTGTTAAGTTAGTAATACGGTTGTTAAGTGAATATGGCATTGACTTTGTCAGAAGGTCGCAAAAGGGGATCACATGACCCTGGGACACCTCAAAACCATCATAACAATGAACCAGTTACCAAACATCCAAATTTTGATCACGTGACCACGGGCATGTTGTGACAGTCGTGTGAAAAACGATCATAAGTCACTTTTTTCAGTGCCATGGTAACTTCAAACAGTCACTAAATGAACTGTTGTAAATTGAGGGCTGCTTGTATAAGAAATAATTGCATTATTGTCCAGGCTTGTTCAGTGTTTGGTTTTCTGTTGATTTAGGGCGCACCTGCGCTGTTCAGACCTCGATGTACGTTTGACAAAAGAATGTTGTGAATGTATTTATTTATTCCATTGAGATGCTGCTGATCTTAGAGTCCAAAGCAAATCGCATAGGAAGCCCTAATCTAATTTCATTGAGAATATTTGTTTTTAATACTTCGTCCACTTGGGAGAAGGCGAGTGGTTGGGAAAAATTTCCCTGCCGCACAAATCCCCCTTTTGGGGTTCTGGCAATCCTGCCATAGAAGAAAACCCCCAAAGTGCTTGCTATGTGGGGGACCCCCACAAGATTCAGGAGATGGCGTTGGAGTCAGCCAGGCCTTCCTGAGTGCAGTTGCTGTGTCCAAGCAAGGAGCCCAATTTTTGGTTTTCCCTGGCATTATTATCTCTTCCAAATGTGTTGGATGACAGGTTCAGAAGACAAGTTTCTCTGTTAATCTTTCTTTCTTTCTTTCTTTCTTTCTTTCTTTCTTTCTTTCTTTCTTTCTTTCTTTCTTTCTTTCTTTCTTTCTTTCTGTCTTTCCTTCCTTCTTTCCTTTGTTTCTCTTGCTCTTTTTCTCACCATCTCCTGTTCTCTTTCTCTCTCCATCTCTTGTTCTCTTTCTCCCTCTCCCTCCCTTTCTCTTATGTTCTTTCTCTTTTTATCTCTTACCCTCTCTCTTTTTCTTTCTTTCTCTTTTCTTTCTTTCTTTCTCTTGCGTTCTTTCTCTCTCTCTCTCTCTCTCTTTTTCCTTGCTTGTTTACCTTTCTTCGTCCCCACCCAGCCAGTCCACAAGAGACCATCATCGGTGGCTTCCTCCATCTCTGACCCACTTCTCCCATTTTTCTCCAGCACCTTAAAGGGCACATTGTCCCTGCTGCTGGAGAGACACCCCCCCCCCCCCGCTTCTTTGCTATACGGCAAGAGGCCACAGACCCAGAATGATACCTGCTTTGGCCTGATCCTGGCTTGGTCGAGATGGCAGGGAAGGGCTGAATACACTGGTAAAGAAAAACACTTCTCCACCTCCACCCCCACTCATAATCCTTCCAGAGGATGCTGGGGATCACTTTGGAGGGTGGGGGGCTTCCCGTGTGGATTCCAGCTTTTCCTTTGCTCCAGAAAGAAGGCAGCCCTTGGCTGGGCTTCTCCCCCAAGCCTATCCCTCTTATTTGTGCCAACCCAGCATTTCTTTCTATCTTAAGGAAATGTGGCCATCAGGAGCCAGTCCGTCTGCCGCATTAGCCAGCCGGGAAACACTGCGGCTCGATTCAGAAGCCAAGATTCTTTGTTAATCAATCACCTTCTCTTTCTTTTTTTTCCCACTTTCTTTCCTTTTCTCTCTTTCTCTTTCTGTCTTTCCCTTTCTCTTTCTTTCTCTTTCTTTTATTCTTCCTTCCTTTCTCTCTCTCTCTCTTTCTCTTTTTGTCTCTGCCTCTTTTCTCTTTCTATCTTTCTTTTATTCCTTTCTTCCTTTCTCTTTCTATTTCTGTCTTTCACTTTCTGTCTTTCTCTTTTTTCTGTTTTACTCTTCCTTCCTTCCTTTCTCTCTCTTTCTGTCTCTGTATCTTTATCTTTCTTTTATTCTTCCTTCCTTCCTTCCTTCCTTTCTTTCTTTCTTTCTTTCTTTCTTTCTTTCTTTCTTTCTTTCTTTCTTTCTTTCTTTCTTTCTCTATCTTTGTCTTTCTTTCTTTCTTTCTTTCTTTTATTCTTTTTTCCCTTTCTTCCTCTCTCTTTCTCTCTCTTTTATTCTCTTTCTTTCTTTTTCCTTTCTCTTTCTCTCTCTGCCTTTTTCATTTTTTTCCACTTTCTGACTCTTTTTCGTTCTCTTTCTTTTGTTATTTCTTCTTTCTCTTTCTCTCTCTCTCTCTCTTTCTCATTTTTTTTTCTTGCCTTCTTCCTCTTGAGTTTTTCTTTTTTCTTTTCATTGCCTGACTTTTGATGGGAGGTACCTTTCTTGCAGCCTGGGGAATGCATTCTTTTCGGGATAAGGCCCTGGGGGCCTCGGGGTGGTGGGGGAGGGTGGGAGGGGGAGGGGAGGGAGGGATGACGCAGGAGTTGTCCTAATAAGGACTTGGTTTGGGGCAGGCCCGCCTCTTCTGGACAGGTCACCAGTGGGAGGCGTGCAGTTTCCTTTTTAAACGAGGGCGACTGACACCAGCCAAGTCATTTCCTTGCTGATCGGCTCAAACCAGTTCTTACAGGAACCCTGGGTGATAAATGGTGGGGAATTTTCTAAAGTCACCCAGTGCCAACCGGCACCGGCCTGATGCCCAGGGGGTTGCCCAACTTCAGGAAGTGCCAGCCTGCTGCAGCTTCAGACCTTTCCTCTCTGCGCCCGGCTGGGTGGCTTTTTTCGTTTTCTTTTAAGCTGATCTTGCCAACTTGCCAAAACAATTTTTTCCTCTCAACTTTTTGACTTTTTCTTTTCTTTTCTTGGCTGGTCTAATAACCCACCCATCCACCCTTAATTTTTTATTTTATTTTATTTTACACCGGCCCGTGCTTTTTTCTGTCTTCTGAGCCATCCCCTTCCTTTCCCTTCCCCGAGGGCTGATTTTTCTCCCCTTTTTAAGCTTTCATTGGGTAAGTTGTTCCCCTTCCAATCATGTTTCTTGTGCTCTCTCTCTCTCTTTTCCCTCCCACCCCCTTCTCTTCCTCCTCTCCCCCTTCCCCCAAATGCCCGGCCTCGCTGGCAAACTGCCCCCCCCCCTTCGACTCACCCATAGCTCCGTGCCTGGCATCGGGGCATCTCTGCAAAAGCCTTTTCAAGAATACTTGGAAGCTCAGCGGATCAAGCTGCACAGCAAAGCCAATGAGGCCCCCCAGGTAAGAAATCTCACCTTGTTTTCCTTTCCTTGGGTCGCACTTTGCTCTCACCCCCCCCCCCCCTTTTTTTTTTTGCTGGCATTAGAGGTAAATAGCAAAAATCTCTGAATCTCTAGGTTAAGCAGGTTAAGAAATGGATTGCGTTGAGAATATTTGTGGCTAGGCGGTGAATAAAAATTGAGAAATCTCTAGATACCGGTATTTCAATCCCGGGAAGATTCTTTAGCCATGTATTATTAGTTTGCTTGAAGAGTCTTTCTCGTATTTCTTCCTTCCTTCCTTCCTGGCGCGTCTCACCTTAATTCATCCCCGGAAGCTGGGCCTTTGAGAGGAGAAAAGCGAACCGGTCTTAGAGAATTATAGAAAAGTGTGGTTTTCATTCTTAACTTTTGACTTCACTTGCTCACCGCTGCCCTCCCGCGTCTCGAAGGGAAACCTTGGGAGTTGAGAAGACTTCCTCCCAAATCTTAGTCCCCCTTTGGATGGCCGACACTAACTTTCTGCAACCGATTTTATGTTTTTTAATGGATGCCCGAGGGGACGGAGCAGAATGGCCGGCTGTCCTTAAACTGGGGCTTTCAACCCAGGAAGGAATGAGAACCATGTCAGTTTTTTTGCCAGCAACTCCTGTCATTCTAGAATCGAATAATAGTGTTGGAAGGGGCCTTGGAGGTCTTCTAGTCCAACCCCCCCGGAAACCCTGTCCCATTTCGGACAAATGGCCGTTCAATTTCTTCTTAAAAACCTCCAGTGATGAAGCACCCACAACTTCTGGAGGCAAGTTGTTCCACTGGTTAATTGTTCTCACTTTCAGGAAATTTCTCCTTAGTTCTGCATTGCTTCTCTCCTTGATTAGTTTCCATCCGTCGCTTCTCTTCCTGCCTTCTGGTGCTTTGGAGAATAACTTGACCCCCCTCTTCTTTGGGGCAGCCCCTCAAATATTGGAAGGCTGCTTTCATGACACCCCTTCTCGTCCTATTTGAAGGCAGGGTAAGATGCAAGGGACGGAAACTAATGAAGGAGAGAAGCCACCGAGAACTAAGAAGAATTTTCCTGACAATTAGAATAAGTTAACTTGTCTCCAGAAGTTGTGGGTGCTCCATCTCTGGAGGTTTTTAAGAAGAGATTGAACAGCCCTTCGTCTGGAATGGCGTAGGGATTCCTGCCTGAGCAGGGGGTTGGACTAGAAGACCTCTAAGGTCCCTTCCAACTCTGTTATTCCGTGCTGTTATTCTTATGCAGACTTACTCATTGATCCATTATAGAAGCCATTTTACAGAATCTGTTCTCCTTAGGCTGCTCCAATTAAAAGCTGCCTGGGGCACCACGGCCAGCCGAAAACTGTCTGGATAAATTACCCAGCCTTGATAACTCCCACGTTTATTCTTGAGAAACCGAGGAGGCCAAAGCAGCTTCCTGGAAGGATGCTGACCCACGTATTACTCATCTCCCCACGACCGGCCACTTAATTCTTTCCAGTAATAGAATTGGTCACTGGTCAGCTGCCTCCCGTATTGCCTGTTACTCTTGCTCAAAGTTCTACCACCCAACCAAGCCTTATTATGGGAGTTTCCATTGAACCCAGGACCTTCTGCATGGCTCTGGGAGGAAACACGGACTCGGCCACCCCAAAGAGCTGAGCAAGCCTGCCCTGCTTCCAACAAACCTGCCTCCCGTCAACCTACAACTCAGATAGTCCTCAACTTAAGAATAGCAATAGCACTTAGATTTATATACCACTTTATAGTGCTTTACAGCCCTCTCTAAGCGGTTTACAGAATCAGCCTCTATTGGGCCCAACAATCTGGGTCCTCATTTTACCCACCTCAGGAGGACGGAAGGCTGAGTCAACCTTGAGCCTGGTAGGATTTGAACTGCCAAATTGCAGGCAGCCGGCAGTCAGCAGAAGTAGCCTGCGGTACTGCACTCTAACCACTGCGCCACCGGGGCTCATTTAGTGACCGTTCAAAGCAACAACGGCACTGAAAAAAGTGACTTAGGACCACTTTTTACACTTACGACCGCTGAATCATTCCCACAGTCATGGGATCAAAATTTAGGCACTGGGCAACTGACTCCTATTTATGATAGTTGCAGCGTCCCACGATCTGCTTTTGCGACTTTCCGACAAGCGAAGTCGGAATGGGGAGAGCTGGATTTGCCAAACAACCGTGCCACTTATTTTTACCACCATGGTGATTCACTTAACAACGGTGGCAAGACAGTTGGTGGGGAGGCCAAATTCACTTAACGACCGTGCCACTTATTTTACCCTGGCAGCGATTCACTTAACAACCTTGGCAATAACGTTTGAAAAACGGGATAAAGTTTGCTCCACCAACGTCCAGCGGAGCGACAGGAATTTGGGGCTCCATTGTGATCGTAAGTTGAGGACGACTCCTATTTTTGTAGCACGCATGACCCTAATGTTCTTTCTTTTTTTTTCTCTCTCCCTCTCTCTCTCTCTCTTCCTCCCTCCTCTTTTTCTGCAGGGTGAAAACTGGTTGTCCTGGACATTTGAGAAATTGGTTATAATTATGGTGTGCTATTTTGTCTTGTCCATTATTAACTCCATGGCCCAAAGTTACGACAAGCGTGTCCAGCAACGCATGAACTCCGAGAGGAAAGCGAAATGAGCAGGATCAGGAAAAGGGAGGGAGGGAATCCAACCCACCCCAACTTCCACTGGAATAACCAGCCTTGCGTTTAATAATAGTCATCATCCTCATCCTCATCCTCATTTGCAAAAGAGGGGCAGGGTTATGGGGGGGGGGCGGGGGCGGGTAAGGCTGGACTCTGGTTTCAGCAACTCTGCCGTTAGTTACGGTTCCCGCAGGCCACCGTCTCCACGTTAAAAGGTAGCAGATGCACCCCTTGTTTCGATGTAAATTAATTAATTTGGTTTTACATACGTGCTTTTCCCCCCCACTTCTGAATTGACTACATGGCTGGGTTTAGGATTGGGGCGGGGTGGGTTTTTTTTTTCCTGCCTTCCCTTGCTTTTTTTTTTTTTTTTCTCATTTTTAAAGAAAAGTTTCTGGCTTTCCAGAACTTTTAGGGCTACTGTCCATGATGTTTAACGTTCAGCCTCTCCCCGAAGGGTGTAAAAACCATCTTCATCTTAACCTGGGCGATCGTAAGATTGACTAGCAATGGGGCGGTGGCCGTTTTGACGAACATCTGGAAATTCCCCCATGTCATGTTCACGGAAAGGGCGGGGAGCTTCGTTCTTCTTTCCCTTGGGCCTGTTTAGAAGGGCATTAAATCAACACCCTCTCAGATCATTCCAGACTCCCCCGTTTGGGTCTTTTAAAACCTGTCCCGAGTCCTTCCTCCTTTTTGTGAGTGTGTCCGTATTCCGGTTAAATCTTCCCCTCCCAATTTTTTTTTTTATTTTATTTTATTTGTAGTTCCTTTGCACAATCTTTCAAAAAAAAAAAAAAAAAAAAAACCCACCCTGTTTCAAATGAATGCTTGCTCCGCTCCTTTGCAAGTTCTCCTCGGTTTTTGGGTTTTTCCCACTCTTTGCTCAGATCAAAGAACTAAACGGGGTGGGGTTTTTTGGTTTTTTTTGGACATTGTTCAGTTATTTTTATTTATTTAACTGACCCGGTAGCCCCGATACCTGGAGCCATCCTTGTGTTGGATTTTATAAAAAATGGTTTAACTCTCGCCGTGTTTAGGAAATGCAAGAGGAAGTTGGTTTGTAAGATGCAGGAAAGGTAACTGGAATAAACAACATTCAAAGATAGTTTCCCGGTGCCTCTTTTTGTCTAAAAGTGGGGTGGTTATAAAACAGTCGCTTCGTTTTGAGTGCCTGCATCTCAGAAAAATTGGAGAGGACCGCCCTATATCTAAAGCAGGGGGTCTCCAACCTTGGCCACTTGAAGACTTGTGGACTTCAACTCCCAGAGTTCCTCAGCCAGCTTTGCTGGGAGTTGAAGTCCACAAGTCTTAAAAGTGGCCAAGGTTGGAGACCCCTGATCTAAAGGACCACCAATAGGCAGATTCAGAGGAGGACACTTCCTGTGTTCCCGGATAAGGAGAGCCTCCTCATTTCCAAAGCGTGGGTGGGAAGGAGGACATAGCTTGGTTCATAGATGTTTGGGCCTGATTGGGCACCTGGGTTCCTTATGCACGGAGACAGTTTCTCCTTTCAGGCACGGTGCTGTGGGGCGAGGCCTCCTTTTTCTCAGCGTCATAACTTCCCCCTCCTGTCTTTAAGACAGGTCACCTGCTCTGTCCCAATGTGTAGAACACCTGAAGAACATCTTGTTTGCTGGAGAACATCTTCAGAAGTTTTGGTGGGACAGAATTGGACCTGACAGGAGTCCCTGGTAGAAATTCCATTTTTCTTTTTAAAAGTGTTCTCAGCTTTGGCTAACCTAAAGTCGGTTGATTTTAGCGGATGCTTGGTCTTGCCCAAATCTATTTTTAAGGTCGCCTTATGCGTGGTCATCAGAGCAGGTGGGCTTCTGGCAGATTATCCTCTGTTTTGGTCAAGCGAGTGGTATGTCTCCCACCTTCTCCCACTTGTGTGCCCCTCCCCTGCCTCCCCCCCCCCGCCTTCCTTCCTGTCTAGCATTGTGACACCTCCTTGGCGTGTACCTTTCTGTCGGATAGCTTATCAGACTGATGTTGACTGTTGGATGTCATGGCAACAACAGTCGGTAGGCTGTCTGACATTTTGGTATCTTTCATCTTGACTGTGTCCATCCATCCATCCATCCATCATCTCCAACCTGTTTGTCCGGCCTGCGGGGGCAGCCTTGACATTCACATTTAAAAAAAAAATAAGAAAAGAAAAGAAGCGGATCTCCTTGGATATCTAAAAATCTCCGTGTCCTTCGTGTTGGCCATCTTGAGATACATTGGGAGCCCAAGTCCCTCAAGGTCTTCCGGCAGGTAGGTTTCCAGAGGGGCGAGAAGCTCCGCCTTGAGACGGCGGGTGGAATAAGATGTCCTCAGAGCAGGGGGAGAAAATAAAAAGGACGTCCATTATTTAGGGATGGAGGAGACACTCGTGCCAATAAATTAAATCCAGATTTCTTCAAACTTCTCTCAGCTATGCAAAACGGTGCTTGGGGACCTCCTCATGTCCTATACCCTTTGCAAGATCTTCTGAGCAGGATCTTCCAGAGGAAACAGTAGAAGGGAAAAGAAGGAGGGTTTTGCGGCATTTCATGGTCATCCATCTTGGCTTGAGAAGGAAACTTCTGGAAGGGTTTTCGTGCAGGCCAGTTTTCCGCTCCCCTGGCAGGATTTCAGTCCTCCGGCTTTTGATCGGGCCTTCCCGTTGGACGACGTTTCTCAACCTGCTCGGCAGCTTGAAGGTGGGTGGACTTCAACTCCCAGAATTCCCCAGCCAGGCAGGGAAGAATTCTGGGAATTGAAGTCCACCCTCTTCAGGTTGAGAAACATGACCGTAAGCAGCTCTTCAGCCTGCAAACCCACAATATCGGCGCAAGGTAGTCCTCATCTTACAACCACAATGGAGCCCAAAACTTCCCTTGCTAAGTGAGACAGTGTTTGGCCCCATTTTACAACCTTTCTCTCCACCGTTGTTAAGTGAAACACTGCTGCTGTGAAGTGAGTAACACAGTTGTTAAGTGAATCTGGCTTCCCCATTGGCTTTGCTTTTTAGAAGGTCGCAAAAGGGGATCACCACACCGCAACGGTCATAAATATCAGACGGTTTGGCCAAGTGTCTGAATTTTGATCACAGGGATGGGGAATACCGCGGTGGTTCTAAGTGTCATAAATCATTTTGTTCAGTGCCATTTTAACGTCCAGCGGTCACTAAATGAACGGTTGTAAGTTGAGGACTACCTGTATGGGTTAAAAGTAGCCATGGATCTTCTGTAGTTTCCTCCTCTTGGCCAAAACCTAACAGTCTTTTGAAGAACTGTGCATACACAGTGGTGAAAAATAGGATGTAAAAATAGAAAACAACACTTGAATCCACGGTATAAGTACATACAAGTCCCCAAATTTAAAACTTCTTCCACTCTCAAGTTTGCTCACCCTTTTTTTATTCTGCCTGGGTTGTCTTGAACTGTCAGTTTCTGACATGTAGGATATTTTCACTTTTGTTAAATGCCAAAGTACCTGTAGCCCATAAAAGATTTTTCATGAAACGCCAAGTAGCAGAATACTTAACGGACTAGACACTAGAACTTCTGGAATGGTTTGTATTTTCTGCCAGAGTCCTATTAATTGCTGAAAATTAAGTGTTTACCACCCTGGCCTATGGACCTGTAAATGCCACGCTGGCTGTGGAGAGCAGGGAGTTGGGTAAGAATTGTATAGCACAAGCCAATACCATCTTGGAACAAAACCACCTGAAACTGTGGCTGATGGGAAGAAACGAAGAGGAATAGCTAATAATTTTTATTATTAGCTATCCATCTTAGTTTTCCGAATTTTATCAACACACCCCTCATATTTTAAAAAGTAAAAAAGGGGTGATTTAGAGTACAGCAGTCTTTAGAAAATGATTCGCTGAACCAACCTTAGAACGATTAATTAGATGTTTGTGGGTAGCTAAATCTGTATTTATAGAGATAAGTTTTCCCTGTGAGTGTTGGGTTTTACTGCTTTTCTAGGCTGGTTGATGTGCCTCTTTCCAATTAAATGCCAGAATACATGGGAAGAAGAAGAAGAACGCTTCTGGGTTACTTAGCAAAAATGTAGAGGAATCTGTAGAACTTTATTAATCATGCAAATAACAATGCCTTTGCTGGTGGATCAAATAAAAATAAAATAAATTGCATGTTTATTGTAACGAAGTACTTATTTCTGAAGTATTCTGATTCTGTCTTAAGAATTTCTCTCTCTCTCTCTGTCTTCTGTTCGGTCAATCAAGCTACTCTAGAGATAGATGTATCATAGGTTTTGCAGCTCTCTCCTTTTTAAGGGCTCACTTCTGTAAATTATAGTGATTTGCACACAGATAAAGAACAGGGAGTGCCTACTGCTAGCGCTACTGGTGGGAAAAATCATTAAAACAAGAGTTAATTGTCACCACTCTCTAAGCCAGCCCTGTATTATAGCTGCAAAAAACGGCAAAGGCAATGAATTTTAGGCTGCCAACGATGAAAATACGGTTTCAGACCACCAGAAGTCCTTCCTCCAATTTATTTCCCTCAGCAAACTTGGAAGGGTGATATAAAACAATGAGAACCTTTTTTTCCCTTGTTCTAGAATACACAATGACTAATTGTGGTCTTAACCTACAAGGAAACAGATTCTGATAGAATTTGTTGGGGGCAGGGAATGTTCTGAGACTAAGAATGATTTGACAGAACATAGAATCCCAGGCCTGGAACTCTGGAGGTCTTCTAGTCCAACCCCCCTACTCAAGGCAAGAGACCATCCTGGTCTAAAGGTTGCCCAGTCTATTTTTGAAAACCTCCAGTGACTGAGCACCTACCACTTCTGGAGGGAAACAGTTCCACTAATTGATTGTTTCCCACAGTTGAAAAATTGTTCTCACTGTCAGGAAATTTCTTCTTAGTTCTGGGTTGGTTCTCACTTTGATAAGCTTCCACCCGTGAGTTCTTGTCCTGCCTTCTGGTGCTTTGGAGAGTAAGTCCCCCTGACAGCCCCTCAAATACCAGAAGAGTAGAATCAGGGACCCCGAGAAGGGCCAGGTTATCCTTCTTTGGAAGTCTCCAAGCAGAGGCTTAAGTGGGCTCTGTGCTTGGCATTTGTGCACTGAGTAGGGTTAGTCTTGAGGACCTCATGGCCTCTTCCAACTTGACAACTCGGTTACTCGAGGTAGGAGCGAGCCAGTTCTTGGTGTACAAAAGGCTTTTGCAATCTCAAAAGAAATAGCAATCAGAAACTGGAGAAAGGCAGTTGCTTATGAAGAGATCTGAAAGGGGTTTCATTTTTAATATGTTTTGAAACCCCCCTAAAGCACAGCAGAAGCCACTTCTGCAATTTCAGATTTCCCCTTACGCAAGCAACCAACTTTCTTACTCAGTCCAGAAGTAGCTGACCCCTGGGCTTAATGGTTGGAGACTTGGGGAAAACCAGAGTTTACTTCTCTGCTGACTTGAGAATGAAACTGCCTGGTGGGAACGGAGAGCCGGCTCAGTCCAGTGATGGAGGCACCATGCTAGAAACCAGGAGGCTCTGAATTCTAGTCATACATTAGGATTGAAAGCGGGCTGGGGTGACCTTGGACCAATCACCAGGAGATTCTGAGTTCCACTCCCGCCTTAGCCATGAAAGCTGGGTGACCTTGGATCAATCAATCACCAGGAGATTCTGAGTTCTAGTCCCGCCTTAGGCATGAAAGCTGGTTGGTTGACTTTGGGCCAGTCATTGTCTCACAACCCAACCCACCTCACAGGGTTGTTGTGGACAAAATAGGTGTATTAGTTAGCATGTTCCCCACCTTGAGTTTTTAATAAAAGTAATAAAAGGTTAAAAAAAGAACCTGAATATTGATGTCTCCTCGGCAAACATTAAGAGCTTCCTGGTTGGCATTGCACCCCGTGGTTTCCACAGAACAGTAGTTTGTACCTTGTTTGCAATAACACCCGATTGTCGGTTTGGTGAGAGCAGGAGAAAGGAATGGAGGAAATTGCTGCGAAATAATCTTCAAGAACAATAAAGGCAGTGCTGGGAAATCCATCGAAGAAGGTAAAGTCCAATCTGGCTGAGGTTTATTACTTCCTTGCACGTATGCAGGAATCTTCCATCCTTTCGTCCTAGTGAGAACCTCAGGGATGTAGAAATGGG